TGAAAGTAGGAAGGGAACCTGGTCAGGGCAATAAATAGCAATATTTTACATGTATTCTAGAATGGTAAATAGCCCTACAGGCTCTCAAACAAAAACAGCATTGCCACAGTTGACTGTGCCACGTGGATGAGGTTCCATCACAGCAAAACTGTGGAAAATGCTAGAACAAAAAGTTGGTCTGTATGCTCTCCTTGGAGGAGCAGGTGGAGGGAAAAGCTTTTAAGACATCAGGTTAGATCCTGTGAGAGCGGCTTTACCAGTGTCCGTGGTGGGCTGTAGCTGACCACAGCACTAACACACCCTTTTCCAGATGCTTCTTTTGCTATAAACCTAGAAAATTAATCTGGAGGCAATTCTGCCTCACAGTCTTGAGAACAATCTTCTCAACTCCAAAGCTGCAGCCTACTTCAGGACGCCCCGCTGTCCAACCAAGCACCACCAGAAGTTTACCGAATACGGACGAGGGGCTGAAGTTTCAGCTCAGGTGCACCCAAAGACTCCACGCTCGCAGCTCCTCTACGTGTGTCAGCCTTTCGGAACCTTCTTCAAAGAGCACTATGGCAGACTATGAAACCTGGTGTTGACTGTAATGTGAAAAGCAGACTGGATTCCCCAGCCACCCACACAATAAGGAGACACTCACTTTAACAAATGTTTGTGAAAGCTGAAGCAGATTTTGGAATATGCCTCATCAATGAGGCCTTGGCACATTACTAAATACTAAGGCATTCAATGAAACTCCAACCATGGGGTTTGGAAAGCAGATGATGGTACAGTTCTTAACATTTCCATCTATTAGCTGAAAATTCTCCTGCCAGCTGTGTCATCCCATGCTGTTACTCCCATCTCTCCAAGCTGCAGAACTGAACAAGGCTTTTCTTTGCAACAGGGTAACACTCTTCTCAGCCTGTGCAGTCCTCCCTTCCCCATCTCCCCGAGTGCTGAGCACGCTTTCCTCCACAACAGGCTCAGCCCCTGGCTGCTCAGATAGGCTGGGGCCAGCTCGGAGCTCACATGGCACTGCAGGCCACCGCCACTAGGCTGGCTCTTCCTGAGTGGAGTCTCCTTCATGAAGGTGGCCGTGCCATTTATCCTAGCACCGAGGCAGGTTAGGAAACCTGGTGTAGATTAGAGTACTAGAAACAGGAGTAGTGTCCCCCTCCCGAAAAAAAAAAAAAAAAAAGGCTCTGCCAACTGTGTGATGGCAAATATGGACTGAATCGTTGACATGGAAACCAGACTAAAGTCAGCCGCGCTCCCTCTCTCTCGCTTGCTCACACAAGTTATCATTATCCCCAGCCTTCCAACCCGCTACAAACATGGACTGGATTACTTCAGGAATTGGATAGAGTTTCTACAGTAAAGTATTAACTAGCACAACTGAGCTAGAATGAAAGGAGCTGAGAAGCAATGAGCGTAGTTGGGTGAAGAAGGATGCTCTTCCATTTTACTGAGAGGCACAGTATGCTGAGATATGCAGACTGGACCCAAGAACAAGAGACCCATCCATTATAATTCACAGAGCACACCGCAAAAGATGGAGTGGAATGAGGAAAGGTTATCTACAGTCCCTCAGCTTATCTGAGAGTAGTTTTGCTAAAGAAAATTACATTTCCTATAAATATGTTTCTATTTGTCCAGCCCATTCTTTCCAGTATTTTAGCCACTATCATATCGGGGTTAAGCGCTCTTGTTGCAGCTTCATAAGCACTAAGCTTAACATTATTTGAATTATTTGTTTGCTGTGAGTGGCTAACATGCCGGGGCACTGTACAAGACAATGCTTATTTATCCTCTTAAAAAAAAAAGTCAAGATATTGTATAATCTCCCTCTCCAGCGCTGACACAATGGCACGAGGGCACGCAGCGAGAGAGCTCTGCACTGCGAACTGAAGTGGAGTTTCAGCAGAAGGGAACTCTGTCAGTTCGCTGAACGCAGCAGCACGGCTCAAAGGCAGGAGTGGATTTTACACGGGATTTGCTGCTTCCCACCGCGCCGGCACCAAAGGTTACAAAGAGGAGCCGCTGCCCGGCCGCGCTCACAGCGCCCGCTGTTAACATTTGACGGTGCGCTGCAAAAAGTTTGGATGCATATTAGGAGAGGAAAGGGGACTCTGCCTGACTGAAGGAAACGCATTATTTCAGCAGCTCTCGCTAGGAGGAGTAAAAGGCGAAGCGGAGTTCGCAGAGCGGAAGGGAAGAGGCGCGGGGGCGGTGGGAGCGGGGCAGGAGCGCGGGGAGCAGCTGAAAGAAACGGAGCTGGAATTTATAAATTCCGGGCAGAATTCAGCGATGTTCTGAACGCGGAACACCTCCAAAAGGAAAATAATAATGGGAAGGAGAGCTTTTGGGCGTGTGTTTTGTACGGGCGGTTATGCACGCAAGGCTCCACAGCCGCCCTCGAAGCCCAGCTCTGCTGCTGAGCGCTCTTGGAGGAGTAAATCTACTTAACAACAACAAAAAAATAAATAAATAAATAAATAAAGAGGGGGGGGGGGAAAGAAAACGCGGACCGGAGTCTGCACAAATCCCTGCACTGGATCGGGAGCTCAACCGTCTGATCTGTGCAGACCCCCACCAGATTTAGGAGCTGGCGGGGAGGTTCGCCCATCAGGCACATCGCTCTGCAAAACCCACGTGGAAGAGTTAAAAAGGCTTTCATTGCTGCTAAAAGAGAAAGACCTCAACTCCGGGCCTGGATTTTCCCACCGAAGCAAACTATTATTCTGTTTAAGTACTCGGGAACTGGCGATACCACGCAGGGAGGTGAAATCGGCTGAGTTCACCAGCGCACAGAGAGGCACCGATTCCCAGCAAATCTGTCCCTCCGCGTTTCTCCCACCCTCAGCTGCTCTTTTCAGCGGAGTGTAAAAAAAATATTCCCCGCCGTGAAATTCTGCCCTCCTAAAGTGTATTTTTAGAGAAGTTTGAGTTCAGGAGTCACGACTGGGGCGGGGGGGTGGTGGAGGTGCTGCGGGAGAGCCGGGTGCCGAGAAAGGAGGGTTTTCACCCTTTTCATAAAGCTCTCGCACTGCCATTTTACCGAGCCAGGGAGGGAGCGAGCAGGCGAGGGAGGGAGCGCGACAGACAGCGCTCGCAGTGAAGTTTCTCACGGCAACTCCGGGCTGGATCTGGAACGGAGCCTTTTGTTCACAGCAAGTTCAGCAGGAGAGTTGAGCCTGCTGAAAAAGAAACGGAGGAGAAATAAAATGGAGGGAAGGAGGAGGAGAGGAGACGCGATCGTACCGAGCTATTAACTGCGAAGGGCGGAAAGTGGCGAGCTCGGTTGTTCTCTGCAGCACGGCATTTATTTAGAAAGTTAGCGTTGTAGCCCCAGGCACAAATCCCTTGTTAAATGCATGGGAATGAGTGAGAGACCCAAGGACAAGCATTAGTATACAGGAAGTGGAATTTTCCGAGGGGTTCACATCCTTTGGTCCTCTTTTTGCCAAGATTTTATCTCGTTGCTCGATGCAGGGTGCCTCCTGAAGACCTCGGGAAAAAGGCCTTTAAGTGAAATGAAGTGAGCTATAGGTCTATTTAGACTAAATAATTAAAGGCAAGGGACACCTTCCATTAGAAATTACAGCGAGGTCTGAAGACCAGATGCAACTTTGGGTCCCCCCCTTCCCTTCTCCCCACTGAGTGCTGAACCACGGCACGCTGCGACCGTCAGCTCTGAACGGGGTGAAAAGATGACCAAAAAAATTCCCCACCCCCTCCTCCCAGCGCCGCTTCAGTGCTCATACACACACCCAACACGTCCTATATTCGCACGAACAGCCGGGTTTTGTCTCCCAGCACACACCAGCTTTTCCCACTTTTTTTTTTCTTTTTCTTTTTCTTTTTTTTTTTTTTCCCCGTGCTGTTTTGGAAATGCCGCTTAATTAAAAATGTTCATCGCCTCCCGCGTTCTCAGCGCAAGCAGGAAACAAGTGCATTCACCCCGTGTAAACGAACGCGCTGCGCGCTGTGACAGCAGCTCGGCAACGCACCACGTGGGAAAGCCGAGTTAAGGATTTAAACGTGCTTTTCCACCGTGGCCATGAGGGACTGGGAGCCTCGGTGGGGGAAAAAAAAAAAAAAAAAAAAAACCAACCACGTTTCGTGCTGCTCAGAAGCGACCTCTGTGGCTGCTCGGGGAGTGAAGTTCAGCAGCCCTAAGTGAGCACTGGCAGATGCGGCACTGTGCCACCGACTTCTGGGTCGCGAAAATCAAACAGAAAAAAAAAAAGAAAGAAAGAAAGAAAAGGAGAGGTGGGGGGAACATCAGGGAAGCGCAATTGGCTGAGAAGCGTTATTCTACGCTTTGTAATTAGGAGTCACACCCCAGCGATCGGAACTGGCTCTGAAGCGGCGATTTCAACGTGTGGCTGAACACAAAGCCGCTCCGCAGGGCGCACAATTACGGAGTCATGCGCGCGATCTCCAGGTGCTGCAAAGATCCGAGCGCCGGATTTTCAAAGGCGATTCGCCCCCCCGTGCGGGCCGGGAGAGCCGCGCTCACACCGAGAGCCTCGCTGGGAGGAGGGGGAATGAAACATCCCTCTGCTGGTACCGCTGCAAGGCCCGTAAAAGTTTATTAAGGAAATGCCGTAAGGCATCGCGCAGGAATTTCAGTTCATTACATTATTATTATTTTTTTAATGGTGGCATTGAACTTATCCATATTTTGTGAGTAAATAACAGCGTGATTTCAAGACAGCTCCCCTCTCCTTTCTCTCTTTCTCTAAAATGGTGCAAATCCGCTTTGCCTCTGCCATGACGTACAGGACAGAGGTGAGGGGACAAGTACCAGCCTCGCAGTTTGTCCGTGTGAGCAGGAGAATCCCTTAAAATCTACAATTAACTAAAACCTCCAATTAATTAAAATGTCAATTCGAATAAATATTATTTGCTACGGTTACTTTCGGTTGTTGGGTTTGGTGCTTTTTCCCAACTTTGTTCCACGGAGCAGGGCAGCACATACAAACCTTGCCTGCAGTAGATGCTGCTTTTTTTTTTTTTTTTTTTTTTTTTCAAGCGGAGCCCAGATGCTGGTCAGGATTAAGGTTACACCAAACACATTCTACATTGCCATTTTCCAAACAGAATGAAGCAACTGGAAAAGATGGAAGAGGATCGCACAGGAACGGAGCAGAACCGAAAGCGGCAAGCGCTGCACTACGGCTGTAGAGGAGGGAGCTCGGATGCCGGGAGAGCCAGAAAGAAACCCGGCATGTCAGTTTTACACATTGCGTTCCTCGCTTTTGAAATAACCATTTTAATTAAACATCTGTCAGGACTTCTGCATTAAGCGTCATGTTTAAAATAGAGAAAGAAAATTCGGACGCACGGTTCGCCGTGTGCTCCCCAGGGCTCGGACCCACACGATGCGCAGCCCGTCGGCCCCGGGTTCTTCAGTGCACGTGCGATTTTAGGCAGCAGTGCTTGGGATTTTAAGCACTGACTCCCTCGAAGTTAGCCATGTGCTCAGCGCTCCGCAGGGTCCGCCCATAACGCCCATAGCAGCTCCTCACTCAAGAAAATCGAGTATCTGTGCATTGAGAACACAAAGAAAATCTTCTTTTGAAAAGAGCTGAAGATTTTTGGTTTCTAAAAGACAGAAGTTCACCTGAGGTGGGGAATCAGATCACAGTGGACTGAAATCTCCAGGGGAGGTTCATCTGTGCTCACTGGTAAAATATCCCTATTGGGTAAATTCACTGCAATATTTTATATGAGATTCTACAATAGCTCACCTCATCCAGAGCTGTGACTCAGTCACATGATGTGCTTTGAAAACCTCTTTCAAAAATTGATTTTATGAGTTTTTTGTTGTTGTTGTTGATATAAAATGGGCACAAACACAATACTTAATGCGGAGAAAGAACACACAAACTATTTAACATCCATGCTATGAGGGGAACACTTACTGACGTCCCTTCGTTTCAAATGTACAAAGGCAGGCACAGATAAATAAGTTCGACACAACAAATGCAACACTCCAGATAAACAAAGGTGTTGACCAGCCTTGAAACACTTGATCATGGAAGGGCCAGGCAGAAATTTTACTCATCGACCTTTCAACAGCTATCCATAAATGTGTATTTCAAAGTCTGAATCCTATAGTCTAACCCACACGGGGAGCTTGCCGTCTGCATGTAGGGATGTGACGTTTTTAAGGCCTCCTTCCATCACCTTGCTCAATGGTACACAGCCAGAGTGGCTCTGAGCTTCACAAGTTCGTACCTCACAGAAGTTCGCTCGCGCTTAGACTGGCTGCAGTAGAACGTTTGGAACTCATTACTGGAGCTGAGCAACAAGGTCATTTTTTATCTAGCTGTTATCTCTGACTTTGAGAAGGCCCACAATCAAACCTTGGCAATACTACTTCTTCATAAGGGCTGATACTATCACAGGCACCTCCAGTAAAACAAAGGCATTGGTTAAAGCAGAGCATACCGAGCAGAAAACCAGCCAAGGTCGCCAATTGTGTTCCTGCCTTGGGAATCAGATACCCCAGTGAAAGGTGCTCCAAAAGGCAACGAGTGTAACAACACACATTATGAAACAAAGTGTTCGAAGCATCATTTGTTTTCTTTTGTTCAGGAAACACCCTTAAGCCCTGCTGCTGGAAAACTCAGGTCCTGGATGTAATCACCCCATGTCTTCCTCCAGATTCACTACCTTCCCACCGCATCATTTTATTTATTTTGACTATTCTCATACAGTATTTTCATAAGGATTACTTTATACATATGTATAAATGTGTACATGTACATTATACATATGTATGCATCTGTACAGAGTAGCCAGCACAGCGAGAGGTACAAGGCTCATTTCTCACCTGGAGGGGAAAAAACACGGAGGAAAATCAGACCAGGTTTTAGAACAAGATGGGAATTCTGAGGGCTGGACCAGCAGGAGTGGAACGCAGTAATGAGAAGACTGCAAAGCGTGAGGCTGCTCACCCAGGGACTAACAGCCAACATTCCTGTAAAATGGGAATTCATTTTAGTTAATGGAGAAGGATAAAGACTTGAAAGCATGACTTGGTCACAGAATGACCACACACCACAGAAAATGAAGGAGATAATGTGATCTAATGGCCAGGTAAGGCACACTCAGATGTTACTGCAGCGACTCTCCAGAAAAAAATTCTGTGCACCGTTTATATTCACGGATGATACATGAAAATTGGAATGGTCATAGAAAGGCTCACTAAGATGGTTACAAGAGCAAAGAATCTATAATGAGAAAAGGCTGAAGTTTTAGCTCAGGTAACTCCAACAAAAGAAAGGCTGACCATGAGTTATGGTTTGAAAACAGGTATTTAAATTACTGGGTTATGTTGGCACCAAATATACAAAAAGGTCTGATTGCACTTGAGAAGTCAGAATAGGAGGTCTTATTAACTATATATATATATATATTAAAATATATATATATATATCCTTCAAGTGGGGCTACAAGGCTGAAAAGGGCTAACAGCTTTTGTGCTAACATTTGATGTTTCTATGGACAGCATGAAGTATGAGTGCTCACATAAGGCATGGTGACCAACTGAGGCTCCTTCAGTTCAGCATCGCAAGGAACAAAACAACACCAACAGCCTGCCTGGAATATTCATCTGCAACCTGGTGGGTGGCTGAAGAAGATATTTTTAATTATTTTATTGGGACAAGATGATTTTTTTGTTTGTTTGTCACTGTGGAATAGATAGATGCAGTGGAAAGTTTTGATAGCTTTGTCATTAATTTTCCTGCTTTGCATCAATGCACTGAGAAGAAAAGACTCTTTGCAATATTGTGAAGATATATTTAAAGTGGTTAAAAGGTATTTAGATGCCACAGTGAAAAACACCAAGAAGATCCATTACAATTAGCAATCCCTATTTGCTGCAGTAATTTGAACTATATACAATAAATAAAATATGTAAGCAAAAAAAAATTCTGAAAAAAAGTCACAAAATGAGACAGCATTTGAGAAGGCAGGTCTTATTATTTGATTTGTAATTACAGACTGCATCACAGTGCACAGAACTGGGTTAAGATGGGCAGAAGTGTAAGAAGCACACACAGGAAACCTCCTGCTCAGTGCCCTGCTAAATTCATCCGGGTCACAGGAGCGTAGAGCAGCATGAAATACACAGTGAATAATATGCAAGCTGACCCAGCAATGGAACACACACAAGCTCAGCAAATTCTGTCAGACTGCACTTGAAGAACTGAACAGTGACCCTTGCTGCACTCACACACACAAACTCACCTCAGCACTGTAATGCCCTCTGGCTCCGCAAGGAGCAGTTCAAAGAACCATCTTTTCTCAGGGGAGAGCTTTCCAAAAAGAAGACCCAGAAGGACCCAGAAGACCATAAAAGGTTTCCACTATATTTCTATTTTCTTTGCTAATGACTTTCAATTTTGATCACAAAGAACTTCTCCAGTAATAATCAAATTCTTCCAACCTAAGGTCTCTTAATTTATCCAAATAAAAATACGCCTACTTTAGCAATACTTCTCTTCTGCAAACAAACCTTGGCTGCTCTTGTTGGGATCTTCTATTCTCAAGTGGATACGTTTTTCATGATTTTAAGCACACCATGTTCCATGCTGTCAGATTCCTTCCTCGTTTGCCACTGCTTCATGTTTCTTTAAACGATAATATGCAAGGGGCATTAGGCAGAAACACATCCGTGTCTTTTTTGTTTGGTTGGTTCTGGCAGTGTTCTAACCTGATAACCACATGAAAGACCAAAAGAGAACACCTCACATCCATGGATAGCATTTTCACGTTCTCAGTGTTTTGGACAAAAGCAGAATTGCATAACTTTCCTGGTTGTTTTCTTCTTTCTTCAAAAGCCTTTCAATTTTAACTTCAGTTCATCTCAACTCTGGCAGCCAGAACTATTATTTATTAAAAGGGACATTTATTAAGTCGTTCTGCACATCTTGTGAGTAACAGGAGAGTAGAAAAATGTATCCAGAAGTATAATCTAAGATTCACGTACTGTAACTATCTTCTTTCTCATTTGCAAGCAAACATTCCTACTCCGGCTCATATTAGGACTTCTATGAACTTAATAATGACAAAACTTTGTCATTCCCACCCATTATTGTGAACAAACATTAAGTAATAATTTCTCTTCCAAAGGCAGGCTGACCCACTTGGATTTCACAGGAGCAGTGTCTTTGGAAAAGCTCCTCATCTCTTTTCCTCCTCCTTGTCTTCAGACGTGACATTTTCAGCAGTTTTCTGTAGCCAAGGATCAAATCAGAAGCATGCAATATAAGAGGGGTAACAGGCAGTACTCACTAAAGGAGCCAGAGGTTGTAACGCATCACAAACTGAATTTGAGTAGACACAATGAAGACGATACATCACAGAAATATTTAATAAGGTTCTTTTACGTAGGACACCCCTGACAATTATCTTGTTCAACTCAGTGCTGGTGAAATTCTCAGCTAGAATACTGTATCCTGTTTTAGGCACCACATAAAACATAAAAACTGATAAAAATCAACAGAGAAGAGCCCAAAGAACAAGAATGCCAGGTGACTCAGAAAAACTAAAGGGGAGAGCTGACCTGAGAACTGAGGGGGGACAAAATACCAAACTTCCACTTAGTTATGCTGAATGTTGGCAATTGAATGTGCACGCCCATGGAAAATGGGACATGTAATAGTCTTAATTCACAGTAAGATTTGGTAAAGCAACAAAACTGATGGACAAACAATGAAAATACCAGCACGAGGAGAAGATATATATATTTAAAGATAGGACATTAAATATCCACATGGGACCAAAGTCTCCTGATATCTCTCTGACTGCTATACCATTACAGAAAGTACAGGAAGAAGAATTCTGTTGAGAAAGGTGCACAGGTCTTCCTCAAAGTGACTATTTTGCTGAAGTTTTTTTTCATTGGATAACATCAAAATCACCTTTCCATTCCTTGTCTCCACCCACCCTTTAGTATCTTTTCTTACAGATGTTGTACAAATCAGAGCAATTTCAATTGTCTAGACTGTTATGACAAAGTTTTGTAGTGCTGTTCAAAACCCACTTAATGGTAAATCACCTTCACTGATGAGCAAGGCCTTGTACAACCATTAAGAAATTGTTCACAGTCTTCATAAATTCTCTCTCCTGGCTCAACAGGCCATGTTTTTTCCTTAAACCCCTATGGCCTTTATCTAATTCATGGTTTGTATTTGGGAAAAGCTCTCAGTAATTTCTTATGCATTACCAAGCTTTACAACACAAGCTACAGCTATATGCATTAAAAAACCCACAACACCCCTGACACAAACCCAGCTGGTTTTTAGTTGCAAGTAATCAGAAATAATGCTTTTCCATAGACAGCAATGGGCTTCTGCATGTTAGGGAAAGCCCTTGCTTTGCATTTCATCTCTGCAGCTGAAATCTGCACAGATTTCCATGAGTGCAATGCTGTCATCCTGCTGTTCAGCTGCTGCTACTGGTCTGCTTCCTGTGCTACCCAGGCACTGTGAGCTGACTGCATCCAGACACAGCACACCGTGTCAGCTGCTCCAGAAACACTGCATGGAAGTAACAGGTTGATCATACCTGATGGTTTCCCTTTTTGCATTTCTTCTACTACATAGAGCTTTTGCTACTTACAAAGCTGTAGAACAAAACCCTTCCACCTATGCAGCCTCTGAGGAATAAGCATTATAATGCATTTACTGGCATTTTCTTCATGCCACCTTGCAGCATTTTGAGGAAGAAGTTGCATAGGCAAAAATCAATGCCAAGAAAAAAGCGATAGTAAATTGCCAGTTTGACCTGTAGAATTCCCACATTCCAGAGAATTCCCTATCAGCTTGCTGTGAAAAAGAACATACAGCTGAGAAGCAGAATAGCACTCCATGGGATAACAGCACAGAGTATTTGGAGAGGTACTGATACAGAAGAGGATGGTGTGCACACGATCAACAGTGAAAATACTTGAAATCAGCATAACAAAGTGAGGTGGATGTACTTGTGCTCAACATAGTTAAATAGCTGTAATTAGATCAGACGGACTCATTGATGTATCGTCCCTTTGTAGACGTGGCCTTAGAAGGTAGGTCAGGAGCTAAGTTCAGTAAAACAGTTTTAGTACCGCAGCTTTTATCTAACAAGGCACAGCCACACACCGACTCTGAAGTAAACACTACTTAGTAGAATTACTGCATTCTAAAGAAAAGAATTGATAGGGAAGCATTCTACAATAACTTAATTTTTGTCAGTAGTGAAACCTCTGTGGCGAATTGGATAATATGCCTTTTGCATAAACAACATACAAAATCTCAGCTATAAATTTATTCATCTTGAGGATTTGAAGGCCTTCACTGAATTGGTCCTTCATCAGTTAAGATGTCCAGATAGAAATGGTGAATGCTAATTTGCTTTGTTCTTTTAAAACCTTTTTTACTAAATTTGAAGAAAATAAGGTAGCATGTTGTTGCATGCAGCATGGTTACCAAATTCAGAGATGAGCAAGACATAAAGTAGCAGATGGTATGAAGAGGATATATGTGAGGAAATGTAAATAGTAGGGAACATCACAAAATCAAAAATGTAAGGCAGAACTGAAAGCACATGTAAGACCCCATGGGAGAGCAGAGGAGATGAAGCAACAACTGAACTGAAAGATATCAGACTTTCCTTACTCAGAAATAACAACACCAACAGGAAGCTCGACTATAGCTGAAGGAAAGACCTATCGTATCTAGGGGAGTGAAGATAGTTTTATCTTAAAGTAAACACGGAATGAGTAGATGAAGCAAGGACAAAGTTTGCAGGTGCCTACAAATATATTCATCAAACACTCTGAATCAAAAAGAGCACCCTCAGCTCCCATAAGTAATGGAGACATTACAAAAGCACTGAAAGTAAAAAGTAACCTTATGTTGAACAAATACAAGATGTACTGTTTAAACTCAGAAAAAAAGACCAAACAAAAAGCAGCGTGGCAACTCATCAGAAGAGCTGAAACCATCAGAATTAGCTGCAACGTTACTATGGGATTAGGAAGAGATGCAGTCTGCACACGAGCATCCTTTGAGACACAACCTGCACTCCAAGCCACATCAGTTATAGCGGCTGCACAGTTTTCTCTCTCTGTTTTCTAGGATGTAGCCTGATAAATTAAAGAGTAAATTATGACATATCTGCACATTGTAGCAGAGCTGAACAAAGACCAGGAATACCTTTCCAATCTTTTGATAAGAACAGAGGTGTTATCACTAACAGGATAACATAGTTAAATGGAAGCCACCAAATAATGCCTTAATGTAGAGGACACACATGAGTGAAGAGACACATGCTTGAGAAAAGGGCTTAATTTGCAACTGCAATTGTTGGAGGGGTAGATGGAAAATTATAATGGTGCTAAACAATTACCAGAGCTGTTCCAAAGGTAATGCTTCCTATAGTACACTGGCTCACAGTGCCACAGGCAGGTGTTGGTGGCATGGCAGTAGTTGAACCTTCCTGCCGATAGTCCACTATATTTTGTTGCCATGTGGCAGACGGCAGCAGAGGGGCACACTGACAGATGAGCATCTGACATGGACATGCGTATGAAGCAAAGGAACTGAATTCCTCCACGTGGAAAAAAACAGCATGAAGTTCATTGACATTTGTTGAACGTAGATGTCAGCACAGTGAGGCAGTGGGTGCTGCGTCTCAGCAGTGCTGGCAGCAGATCACCTCCACCAGCACAGATTTCGATGAGTGTGGCACGCAGGCTCTTCTTCATTGTGAAAACGCAAAGCTAACAGCGGTGACTATGTTGAAAAAGAGTGTTTTGCAGCTAAGATCTTGCTCTATCAAATAGAGTTATTGTGCTCTTTGTATCTGTTGTTGTTTCCATGGAAATAGTAAGGAGGAATTACTTTCAAAGAGACCTACGTATATCTCAAACAGTTTGATAACAGATGTGTATATTTCTGAGTTTACCCCTGGAACCATAGAATAATTCAGGTTGGAAAAGACCTTAAAAATCATTGAGTCCAACCATGACCTATTGCCCTAACAACCCTCCACTAAATCATGTCCCTGAGCACCACATCCAAACAGTTTTTAAACACGTCCAGGGATGCTGACTCAACCACCTCCCTGGGCAGCCTATTCCAGTGCTTAACAACCCTTTCTGTAAAGAAGAGTTTCCTGATATCCAACCTAAACTTACCCTGGTGCAACTTGAGGCCATTTCCCCTCATCCTGTACCAGTGAGAAGAGACCAACCCCGCTCTCACTGTAAGCAGCTCTCAGATACTGGAAGAGAGCAGTAAGGTCTCCCCTCAGCCTCCTTTTCCCCAGACTGAACAGCCCCAGTTCCTTCAGTCTCTCCTCATAGGCCATATTCTCCAAGCCCTTCTCAAGCCTTGTCGCCCTTCTTTGGACCTGCTCCAGCACCTCCATGT